TAGCAGCACGTTCAAATAAACGTTGGCTTATGCGTCGGACTGGCCGTTCTTTAACCCCCCTCGAAGATTATCGCTGAAACTCCCTCGCTTTGCCACCTAGAGATCAGAAAGTTTCCCGTGTTCCCGCAGCCAGGATTTCCCTAAAAGAGGTTCCAGCTGAAACACATCCACGTCTGGGGTTCTACGTTCGACCAATGACGAGACTTTCCACTTTTCGGAAAGGTCGGCGTAGACGACGCCGACGCGACGGCGAGACAGTAATCGTTTGCAAGGATATCGTCGCGAATGGATATTTCCTTGGAAGTGTTTCCTCCCTGGTTTCCTCCCTGAGCGAAACTATTCAGCAACATCGTGGTAAGCGTCTAAGAGGCGCTTATGGCAGCGGGTTATGAGAACAGCGTAGTGAAGGCGCTGGTTCGGTTAATGAAATAGTACTTGATAAGTGTGGAGTGTGGAAGTATACGAAGGTTTCTACTCAAAATTTTGGGCTAAGTTGGTTAGGTCTGGGTTAGAACTCTTAGTTTTTATTTGAAATTTTGGGACCCTCTTCTGTGTAGATGTATTTATTGATTATGTCTGGGTAGTGTAAATCTGGGTAGTGTAAAATTTGTTAAATTGCACAAGGGGCACGGAAGACGAATAGGATTCATTTTTACAGTTTATTACTGTGATAAATTACTCTAATTGAAATTTCCCTCGTGTTCTTATTAATTCATTTAAGAATTTCGATTTAGTACTATTTTTAAATTCTTAAATGTCCATAGGGGTTCTAATTCTTGGTCATTTTTTCCATTTCGCCACTGGCTCGGACACTCGAACTCAATATCTCTCTTCGTAGCACGAAAGTGTCTTGCGCATTCCACCTGGCGAGGGGGTCAGACTTTATAAATTAAATGTTCACTCGAATAAATCGAATTTATGTGGCTCGAAAGGGGTCAATGGGATCGTAAGAGCAGCAGTGTTAGATAGAAAAATCGATTGGACCAAGTCAGGCATATTTCATGTAGGTGCAGAAACATTGGAAAGAATATGTTGATGAATATAATAAATAATGAGTGTCATACATACATACACATACTACGGTCACTTTCAAAATTTGAATCCAAGTAAACGATACATCGTAATTCGCAAAACCATCATCCCTCGATTCAACCTCCAGCTGGTTTTAAACTTCAACGACTATCCTTAATTCCCCCTGCCTTTCGATGACACCATTCCAACCAGAAGTTCCGAACTCGAGTCAGACTTTGTTCCTCGAGGGGTGGGCCACCCCTTCGTCGACCAGAGCAATCCCTGTTCTTTGTGTCCGCAGAACATTGTCCAGCGCCGATCGAATCTGTGAAATTTCAATAAAACGAATTAATTCCGTAGCAGATCGGTTTCTTCGCGGGTAGAATGCGAGCCGTCGATACTTCATCCGTTTCTCTTCAGCCGCCTTCGCGCGCGGTAGAACGTTTATTATCGAAACCGACGGTCGAACGTTGGATAAAGTTGCAGGGAGCTCGCCACTTGTCGATTCCGCGCGGCCGAGCTGTTATTTCAATTTTATTGTTTCCATTGGCTCCGCTGGTCGGTGTAATAACATCTCTGAAACTAATTTAGGGGTTGCGATTTGTTAGAGGAATGGAAAGGGTGGGATATCGAATTTTGCTGATGGCTCGGAGGCTGACTAGTAACTTGTCGCTTCTTGAACATTTCTTTTTGTGGGAATCAGTTGTGATTTGTGAAAAATTTCCATCTATTTTGAAAAATAAATTCGTATACTGACAGAGTCATAAAGAAAACGTTCTTTTCGAATCTCATTTTAGAACTTATCCTAACTACAAAATAGAGAAGAACGAGTCAAAGGAAAAATGACGTGGCATTCTCCGGTTATCCATTTCGCCTCGTAGCAACGAAAGGGGAATAACGAACGATCAAACAATTACTTCCGGCGCTGTAACGTTAATCGATTCACCCTTGTGTGCGCAAGAAAGGAAAGTGCTCGCGGTATTATTTTCAAGAACCATTCATCACGAACGATAAAGCGCGTGGGGGGAACGTTCGAGCTCTCGACACACGGGACCTGTCAATAAGGTCATGAAATCGATTCTCGTTGATCGGCGAGCGAGTCGAAAGCGCGTCGATAAAAAGTTTCGCGCTCGATTCGCAATTCGACGGTGCGAGCATAACTGCGAGTTTGACGCTTCTCAATATTTCTGCCGATCCTACCAGGGAGGGAAATACCGCAATCGAGAATTTTTAGCATTTCACGTTTTTGACTATCGAGAAAGAAAAAGGGAATATATTTCTGAAAACGGTGTTTGTATTTTAATTTCGTATTTTGTATTTTTCATTCTCAATCAATCTATATGTAATCACAAGCCAATTTGTCTCTACCTAATTTCCTGACTTTAGGACATTTTTATCTTCCGCGCTTTCTAAATTCTTCCAAATACTGTTCAACAATATGCGTTTTAAAAACTGTTGCATCGTCTCCCACTAATTTTTCGCGAATATCGGAATCGTTGGGAAGATGGCGGATTAAGTAAATCGGTTGATGGCGGTACGAACAGGGTGGAAGGAGTCGAGGCAGTTGCAAATTGAAAATGACAATCTGTTTTAATTAACGTGTCCGTTGCGCGTTTTCATTAATTCAACTGCCGCTAACGCCGCGTTCTCGCGACGTTCGTTTTATTTATTGAAATTAAAACCGCGGTTTTCATTAAATATCGCGCAATTCTAAAGTGGCGTTTACCAGATGACCGCCGAGAGGATTCGCCTTCGTCTTCGCGTTTGATGTCTTTATTGAAAGCTGGCAAACGATTGCCAACGAAAACTTAAAGGAACGGAAACAACAATCGAGGTTCTAATGTATTGTAAAGAATGTTTTTGACAAAAGTTTATCAGTATTTGAGATTTTTTAAATATCACCATATATCTTGGACATCACAGAGTCAATGATGACGTTGAGAAGAGTTCAACAGTATTACACTAACTATACAATAGATGTTTCCCATATCGAAACCACCACGAACAACTGTCAAAAGCATTCATCTTTGATCAGACGCCTTCGGAATCGACATTTTTCCCCAACTTTGCGTCTTCGTTCGCCATTCTTTTCGTTCCCACTCCTTTCTCATCCGCTGGCACTCGACATTCTGTTCGAACGCGGGGCAATCGAGGCTCTCCGCGATTACCACGTCGAGTAGCCTTTAGAATGATTCTTTCCCCGTAGACTCCGAGGCGGGACGATTGTAGCAATTAGCGCTTAATTGCCGCTGCCTCGAGGCCGTTGAAACGTTTCGTAGTCCCCGATCCGTTTTCCCTTCGACAGGGTATCCCTCGTTTCGTCGTTGTTCCGTCGATTCATCGTGAGCAATATAAACGGTCCGCCCGTCGTCGATCCTTCGAACGAGAGGCGAAGACAACGCTGGTAATCCGACCACTTAAAATTTAATAAGCCTTGCGCCGCCAGATGCGACCCTAAAGCGAAATACTAATTTCGCGGAGTTGAGCGGGGACTTAGATCGTTGCTGTTTTAATCCTCGCCCCGCTGGAGCCTGAGCTTTCCCGTGCCATGAATTTAATTGTTGATTAAGCTGAGAGTCTTCGAGACTCTTCTCTTTTTTTTTTTTTTTTTGTTGCGTTCGCAAATTTTAGGTCTTAACGAAGTATTAAGTTAGAGGGAATAGGCGTCGTTCGGGGAGCCATCGGGAGTGTTTGCGCGTTTACAGAAATTATTCGCTGAGAGCTCTCGAGTTCTCAACGTGCGGAGGGAGTAAGCCCCTGAGAAGTTGGTACAAGGAGTCACTGAATACTTCACTCTTCCGTGTTAATAATTTTTCGAATGGTTAGAGGTGTACACAATCCACGATAAGAGCTTGCAAACTCTTTACGAAAAAATACTGTATTTTCTAAAAAAAAAAAATGAGTACACCAGAGAGAAATTGTCGTGTCGCGGGCAGGAAGTTTATCGTTTAACATTTTATAACAGCGTGGCGAACGAATCACGTAGCTGATCGTTGTTTGCGAACGGTGGCGCTCGTAAATCAGCCTCAAGATCAACGGGAATTAACTTGCTATTGGAGTAATGAAATACCTCTCTACCCTCGAGGAGCACGTTAAGAGATATCCCGCGAGTTTCTTCATCTTCTCCTTGCGCTTTCCAAGTCTTTTCCCCGATAATTCTCGCGGGCTCTTGAAAACTCCAGAAATATCGCGGAGCTGTCGGATTCTTTACGATGATGTTTACAGATTGAGATTAAGTCTGGCGCGGTGGACCGAGAAAAGAATTCGAGGTATTATCGTCGCATTGTTTGACGATCCCGTAACGCAGGATAATCGTTATACACGACATATTGTTTTATTTATCGTTTTACGATCTTAACACGGTGAAATGGACAAATGGAGTTTTCGATCGACGTTTCTTCGTGAATGTAAACTGGACAAATATTGCGTTTGACCAAGGTTCGATTGCAGAACGAAATATTCAACGTTATTTTTTCAACTTTTCATTTGATTCTGCTTTTTTTGTTTACCTTTTACACTTTTGACGCAGCATTCCGTGCGATCCGATGCATGAGGAATATTATCGAACAAAGTCTGCGTTTGTGAATAAAAGGCGGATTAGAGATATGGTGCATATAGTGCAGGATGTTGCTAAATAAAAAATATTTGTAGCGAACAAAAATACGTCGAAAAGTGTTTGGCATTGTACAGTAAAGGAAATCGATAATTTAACGTTGACAATAAAAATGTGAGCGTAATTCGTTCATGAACTATTATTACATAATAATAAAAATATGTTAAAATACCTTTTAAAAAGTAATAAATATTACAAATGTGTCTAGTACAAGTAGGGACTTGATAAAATATAACAAAATAAATTATAATTGTCTAATTAACCCTTCGTGCATTCAAATATAATTTTTCTCGTCGATAATTTCATTCGCTCCCTGCATTCCAATTTCGAACCACGATGTGAATGCAATTTTCTTTAGATTCGCAATCTGTTCCAGAGCTGAATTCGACGTCCCCGTCGGCCAGCGAGCTGGGCGAGCTGATCGCGGACGTTGAGAACGACGAGTTAAACAAGGACACGGATGACGACGAAGACGCGGTCGAGGACATCCTTTATATGCGCGGGGCGTCGTTTACGATACACCTGGACCCGCTACATGAGAACAATACAGTAAATTCTACGAAGTCCAACGATGAGACAGGCGCCACTCTCGATCGAGTCGAGCTGCGAGCTACGTCTCAGGTATGAGGTGTTTTATTTCTGTCCGTAAAGAACTGTTGCTTCATGGAACGGAATGGAAAGTACTATCGTAGAGGGAAATAAAGTTCCTGGGTCCGAGAGGAATGTGGTGCTAGGAGTTAGTATAATGGAGGAAATGTTGTCCTTCTGTTCGGAGGAAATCTCGTTGTATGTGTTGAGAAAGAAAACTATTTAAAGAGGGATGTATAGGGTAGTTTGATGTTCGTTGATTAAATGAATTATGAATATTAGCGTCCATGCACAACCTTTGATAATTAATTTAAGTATCAGCCTAACATGTCTGACCAGTACCGTCCAATACTACTAGCAATTTCTCTTCAGGTCTGATCTTTCTTTCTCCACGCAGTACGATTGTATCTCTCTGATGCAAGAGTGATTCATTGACCAGCTGTATAGAGAGACAGTGAATCAGAATGATGTACGATCGTACACAAAGCACTGTGGAGTCACTGTATGGTAGAGTAGTAATCCTAATGTTATCGTCGTGTATGTTAAACCTCCCTTATTTCATTCTCTGTCCGTGTGCCATATGGGACGCATTGATTCGAATGGGTTCGTAAGGGCAGATACGTATCGCGACTATGATGAACGGTACGCTCTGTCACGGATTAACTATATTCAGATGGTCTTAGTTGAGCAACATTGTCTGTTAAATATAAATCAAAGATGAAATTCATTTTTAATTTAAATTTTGAGTTATGTGCTTCGAAGTGTCTGCAGAACAATGAAAATTGATGGGACTATGAATATGAAATTAAGATTATTATTATTGTTGTTATTGGTGAGACGCGACGGGAGCAAAAGTAACAATATGAAATTAAGAAATAAATTAGAAATGAATTTATATTTAACCTTTACTATTGCTTGTGAAAAATTCAACGTTTCACTCTCCACACCTTTCTGTTCTTCCGACTATCTAACTTGACACATTGTGGCCTGGGTATGTCCATTTAATTGAATACCCCGTGGAGACCAGCCATTTAATTCGTTCCACCTGTGAAATACAGAACGTTCCTCCGACAGTTTTAATTTTTATTTCTCGTCAGATTTTTATTCAGCTCGGCGGCGGGTATTTCTAGATTGTCCCCTGCTGCGTTGTACGATAACAGTTGAAGGTTATTCTTACTCAATTTATTTTTACCCACTATGTCAAAAACAAAAAAGAAAAAAAAAAAAATTCCACTCGCAGTGATTCGAACATTTTCAGACATTTTGCACAATCGAAAATTTAAAAATATATTTCGCTTCCCATAGTTAAAAACTATTTGCCAACTGTTAGATTGTCAATTTTCCTCGTTGTTTCAAGGGCTGCTCTAAAAACCGGCCATACATTTTTATCTACGCGAAGATAGGACAATTCTCAATTTAGCATGGAGCAATTCCAACCCCAATTTCGTTCGCTGTTTTTATTTTTATTTTTATTGTTGTTTTTCCATCCGTTTCTCCGTCGCATTTTTTTTTTAGAGAGAAATTTGTATTTTAATTTTAAAAGTATCTCGGAATATTGGACAATTTAGATGTCGTATGGGGGTAATTGGAAAATTGCTCAATGTTATTTATCGGGCGTGGTTTCCGCTATATAATTTCACGTTGACGTGCGATCGCGAAATGCGTGTATCCGTTTCCGTTTCAGTATGCGAACCACTCGAACCTCTCCCACTTGCATATCCAGTTCACTGAAAACCGTATTCGCCGATCGTTGTCGAGAATTTTCCACCATTTTGTTGCCGGACGATACGACCAACTTTCTGAAGCAGAAATTTTATTATAACGTAGAGTTGCGAATGGGAGAGTAAATAAAAAGTTACTTTGAGGTAAAAGTAGTAGAAAGCTTAGGTTTTATTCAATTTATAATATTACTGTACTTGAATTTTTATGAATTATATTAAATACACGTACTACCATCTCGATAGTGTTTCTTATATAATATAATTCTATAAAAATCAAAATTCCTGTGGAATTCAAGTATACTAAAATTCGCATAAACACCGAAGCACCTAAATAATACCCTTTCCAGTCCTCTCCAAACAAAACTTCTTTCCCTTCCCCAATTAAGAACACTTCTCCGCTACCCCAAGGTAGCATGCCCCCACGAAATCGCTTTTGTTTTAAAAATTCCTCTCGTTTTCGCGCAACCACAAACATTCCGCGCCCTAATTCGAAAGGTTTTCCGAATAAAAACGTCGCGACGCGAGCAACAGGTCCCCCCTCCCCTGACCGAAGCGTTGGTTCCACGGTCGCCTGGGATCTAGCTGTTCCTCCCAAATTCGCGATAACTCTGCAAGAAGCATCGATCAGTTAATACCGTTCGGGGCGTTCCGACGAGACTTACGTCTTTTTGGAAGAGCATTGCAGCCTCGTCGAGGGTCTGGAGATGCGCTGATACCGTATCGAGGTCTCTGATCGACCGAACAATAAAGACCCGTTGAAGATCGAGCCTGGTACAGAATTGGAACACAGTGGAAGCACTTTGGTATGAAATGGCTTCATATAGGAAAAATAGGTCGTTCGATGAAAAGGATATAGCCAATCTAGAGAAGCACAGGACTGTGCAGGCTATTGGATTCCTCGTGCAAAGGACAGCAATTGAGGAATTAGCAGAGTATTAAGGAGGGGGTGGTGAAAAGAACGTCTCGTGACATAGCTTAGTTTTTTGGGCATGTTCCTACTATCTATAAATAAAACACTCGAAGGTTTGGGGCACGTGTTAATGTTAAAATTGAGAGGTTAAATTTTACAGGAATATTTTCTGATGTATTCGCAAGATATTTAGGGGATGCGTAACATAAGAACCACCTTAGTGAACGGTTAATCTCCCACCACCACAGCCATTGCAGTTCTCAGCATCGAATCCCCCAAAGATTCCTACTAAAAGTCCCCGTTTCTATTTCCAGGGTCCCAATCTGGAGCAGAAACTCCCCTCCACGATGGAGAGCATAGTGATCACCGAGCCGTCGTGCTCCCTGGACTGTGGGCCAGCTGGCAACTGCTACATCGAGCAGTCCAGGGGGGATGACGTCGATCTGGGGGACGACGACTCCGACAACGTGGACGACGACGACGACGACGCCTCGATGTCGATGGATCTCGAAGGGAACGACGTGGCACCGAGACGGAAGCAAGGGTCCTTCAGGCAGAGGTGTCAATGCCCCCTAGGCAGAGGCGGCGATCGATGTCAGCTAGGTGAGTGATTTTTATTTAGCCACGTAGTCGTGTTTCGCGCGGCGTTTCGCGCCATCGGGTGAAAGTACCTCGCGAAAGAGTTCGTTGGCGTCGGCCAGCACCCCTACAAGGGTGGATACCCCGCTTGGATGAGAGCCAGCGGCTCGAGTCGCGCCAGAATTCATCGACGCTCGACAACCTGATGAAATAAGACTCGGTTCGAGCCACGATAGGGCGGTGTTTAATTACAGAGAGGGATTTCCAAGAGGACTGCGTAGACGGTTCGATGAAAAAGACGCGAAGGGCGTTGGAGGACCTTTGACTGCGACGCGTAAGTGTTCGCGGGTCGTTGTGAATCAAGTTAATTAATTCGAGTAGGACGTACATAAAAAATTGAATCGAAAATGTATGATACAATTTTGTTCATATTTGTCATTCGTGTCATTTGTTGTTAAAAATTTGTAAAATTTTAAACTTGAAAAAAACTAAACAAAAGTGCCTAAAAAAGTCTGCAACCGAAACGCAAATGCAGCTCGATCCCGAGAGTCAACCGAATCTTTCGAAACCAATTACAAAATCAAACAGATCGAATAAAAAATCTACATCTGTCAGCGATCGGTCGCGATTCGTTTCGAAAACGACGTGTATCCATTTCGTTGGGAACACGATAAATTGGAATTTCCGGGAAAATTGTTTACACACTCGATGGAACGGTTGTTGCGTCGCTATCTATCGCGGGATCCATGCGTGTAGGTAAATTTAATAACCACTATATTTCGCGAATTGATGCGGATTACGCTTTCCTCTACGCGGTGGCATTGTAATCTCGATGATTGCGGCATAATAGCGACTCGATTACGGTCGTTTGCGTTCTTGTTTCGGCCATCGATCCGAACCGACCGCGATTTTTCTTTGCCCGAAAAGCAACCGCTGACCGCAAACGGATTTCGTTTCGTCCGTGCTGTAAAACGGTGTTTTGTTTCGTAATAGTTGCAAAATGTTTGCGAACCCACCGTTCGCGTGCACTGTTCGCGCGACTGTGTAAACGTCTATTTACAAAGTCTATTTACAAAGAAAAAAATATTTTTCACGTGATAATATCAATCAGAAAAAAGTCCATCAGTTATTCATGTCCCACTCGACGGTAGACCATAAGCTTTCGTGTTGCATAAACGTAAAAGTGCATGGTAAAGTTTCTAAAGCTCGGATAATCGGAGCTAGGGAGTAGCGTGATTTTTGTCCTGTTTTCTCTGATCCCGAGCACATGGAATAAAAAGAGGTCGATCCTCGAACGGAACAGAGCGTGCTGCACTACTGTATTGCGTATAAATAAATAAGCAGACGCGGGGCGAGCTTTTTTTCAATATTTCAGACCCGCAGGAAAATCTAAGAATATCCTCACGTGTGTAGAAATGGATGTCTTGACGTTTGCGGTGAATCACGTCCAGCGGGATTTATTCGTTGAGTCACGTGAAACCATCACTATCGCGATGGGAGCATCACTGTGCCTGCAATGACGATCGATTGCAACCACAGTGTGATGATTCATTGTAGAAAAATATTAGAGAACGAATAAGTCGCTTTCGGAGGATTAAATATAAAAGTGGAACAGATATTAAACGGCCCTTAATCCTTCGGAACTGTTACGTGGCAGCTCACGTGCGCGTCAAACCCGCCACCTCGGCCACAAATTCTCCAGAAGCTCGAATCACCTCGCGCCGCCCAAGACGAGCATTATCGCGTCGAGCATAATCCCCCAGACGAATTGTATCGCTCGTCTTAAAACGCGATATCGCGAAATTAACGGGAGCCAACGTCGGGTAGCGTCTTGACGGGCGGAACAGCTTTCCCAGCGAGCTCTAAGCTTGATGCACGGGGGAGGATAGAGCAGTCGAGCGATGACAGACCGTTCTAGTCGCCAAGGGATTAACGCCAGCTCGGTCCTCGTCACGATTCCTCGTGGTTTCTCAAATTCGTGCCACGAACGACCAATTGCTGGTAGAACCAATTCAGTAATGTGGGGACAGAAGGTTTGGGTTAGCTTTTTAATGGACAAAAATCCCACGCTAACCCCCAGTGATCTCTCTTTCTCCCCATAATAGCTAACATTAATCAATTGCTGTCAGACGTCGAACTCCCTTCTCGAAAGTCGAATGCACCCCGTTCGCTTTTCACTCGATGCTGTAATATATGCTGCGATGTGGACATCCCGCGAAGTTAACTTTTTCAATTTTAGAACTGTTTGCTCGCGGAACGCCGAGAAAAAGACTCGGTGCTCGAGGAAAGTATTCGCATTGGTTACGTTCGAAGTAGGATACCGCATAAGAATCGAGGGTGACGAGTCTGTATTTTATCGAATTATTCCATTCTAAATGAACAACAATTCAGGAGATGTTATTAAGTATCATGCTACTACGTTAAATCGATACGCAAGTTTGGTTCAAATAATTCAGAAACGCATTAATGATATATCCGTGAAAATTTGTAAAATATTCTTAAAATAAAGAAAAATTCATACATCGACATTATGAAATATATAAATTGGAAAATTGAATAAGGAAAATTCATCACGATATTAGTGTTTAATTAACTTTTCGAAATATTAAAATAGCTCACTTATACAAATACAACTATGGGCAACATAAAATATACAGACACGTCATTCTCGTTCGAAAAGTGCAATTGCGCTTTGCCAGACCACGCAGTAGTTCCCTTTCCTCCCATAACTTTTCCTGCCACCCACTCAAAGAAAAGCTATAACCCCGGCCCAGTTCCGAGAATCTCTACAATCGTGGAGCCATCGCGAGTGTTGCACCTTTCACAGAAAATACAATAAAAAATGAAACGCGCTGGCTTATACCCCGAGAACAACTCGCCCAAGTCGGTACAACCCCTGCGGAGACGGCAGGCCACCCTCGCGCGAATTCGCTGCCGTTGAACTTACAAGGTTTCAGACCTGACGCGTTCAATTTTTCAAAGGCAAGTTTCAAGTAGCGTTTATCCACCCCTGCGAGAGGGAAGCACGTCTTCGGGCGAGGAACGGCTAGAATCTGGCTGATTCGCCTTTGTATTTGCCAGCAGCATATATTCATCCTCGAGACGAGCAAGGGATGGTGGGAGACGAAGCTGAGAGAGCTGGCTATCTGCAGCAATTAATCTCTCTTCCGCGCGTACACAGCCCGCGCTGGCTTTGAGAGGAAATCACGGGAAAATCTTAGCCGGAGTTCATGGTCTTCGCGGGGGACATGGATTAAAAAGATCCCCATCGCCAGTTTCCTATCCTTTTGTTCGCCTATTCGGGGAGTTCCTCTCTGATTGTCCGGGAACACCTTCTCGGGATCTCCGGAAGCTTCAACCACTAGAAGGACTGATCCACTCCGAATTCAGGGCGGGAGAATTTTTTTGATTGCGTTCGATAGTAGGTTTGGATTCGAGATTCTTGGATTCGGGAGTTTTTGGGTTTATCGTGTGTGATCTCCGGTAGATTGGGAGTATGTTTAACAACAGCGGTAATTTCACTGTAAATATTCACTACTTATAAAGACAGACACATGTGACTGTAAGTATTGTAATTATTTTGCTCGCCCAAGAAGAAAAGTTTAGAGTGATATTTCCTGATACACCAACCCTTCTCGGTAAACTCTCACCCCCAGTTGCTGTTCTTTCTTTCTTTCTTTTTTTTTTTTTTTTTATTTCTAGTCGATGCAAGTTCTGGACTTGTACTTCTTCTCGACTGGAACAGTTTTATCGGTTCGTTCCAGCTGTTGACGAAACTGATCCAGAAGTTGCGTAATTGCGCTTCCTGAAATTCAACCGAGACAGCTCTCGAGTGAAATTACTCGCCACTTCTGTTCAAACAATTTAAAGAAAGTTTCGGGAATCGTACTACCCCTTGTAATTCTAATTGATGTTTTACTTTCCGCGGTAGGCTGACGAAACTTTGGTGTTGCTTAATTTTTGTAACATTTAAGCGTCTTATTTCATTTGCAATTAATGACGAAACAAGTGGTATTGTCTCGTGACAGATTAATTTCGAATAATCATTTACAGTTTTGTTACCTGTGCAAAAGGAAAAGATGTGAAAAGGATTCGAATGTCAATTGATCGTATCCATTCATTTTCTAATTACTTCGTCTACTTTAGAATCAGTTTTAACTTCTCAACTTGTTGTCTGCCATCTATCCATCACCTTAAACTTACGAACGCTGCTTCACAACCCTTAGAACTAACAAAGTACCTTACTTTAACTTAAATTTCTATCGCCTCCAAACAAAAATCACTCGATGAACTAGCAAAAATGTTTACTTTGCCCACATCTGAGGAAACATCGAAGTCAACTCAAGCCTTACCATCCCTAAATGAAAGAGATAGACCACCGTACACCGTCCGACACCCCATCTGCGCCGTCAGGTTTCATAGAAATCGGAGATTCCGAGCCAGAGAAGGTTCCTGTCGTAGAGAATCGCGCATTAAGGCCGCGAGACCGTTCGCAGCCGCGCGGAAACTTTCAGAGACCCTCGCCGCGCAGCCGTGTAATCTGTAAATCCTTTGAGATGAAAGCTTTCAAGCGGGGGAGGTAAGCAACTTTAGTCGTGTAACCTGGCAAACAGGATATTCTCCCTTTGTGCTCCGCGAAAAGAAAGGTTATGAGAACGCGCCACGGCGGCGAGTAATTAATCTTTCCATCGTGGCGCGCGCCTTCGCGGACGATGCTGGATGGTTTTGTCTTCGGGGGCGTCGAAAACACCACCAACCGCCCTCGCCTCCCACCGGATGGTAACCGAGAAGTTTCCGCTCGGTCGTCGCTTTCGGAAACCGGGATAAAATCTCTAGGGCCAAAGGGTGGGGGCAACTTTTTCCATCCCCTCGAGAAACTTGCGGAAGATTCGAGAGCGAAGCGACGTTCCCAGAGACGTCTCCTCGAGCACCGGGGAGCTCCTCGTCCGTGCATCGACCCCGTTTTAATCGCGAAAGTCGCCTCGATTCCGCTGGCCAGAATTTTTTTACGGCTGAGAATTTCT